TGTCTCTCTATCTTCCCGTCTCCTTCACTCCTTTTTTTTCGTTCCTATCTCACTATCCTTTGCTTTCAATATAATTAGTTTTAGTGCATTTTATGTATTCACGCGGTTCGACTTTTTAAATTGGTTTCGTGTGCTCGCGCTTGCTTGACGATTTCTTATCTCGGTTATCAGTAAAACGGGGCGAGCAACGGGGCAACAGCGACAACGACAACCAGCCGCGCGCACCACACATTTTAATTAAATACAAGAAGATGACGGCACTCACGTCTTCGAGCTGAATTGAAATAACATTCGCGGAAAAAGGAAAAACAATTGTATAAAACTTTTGCAGTTTTTTTTTCTTTCTTGCTTGCTTTGATTCTCGCAATCGAATCATACACACACCGAGTTGTGTTGGGAAATACGATTTTTTTTCCCTCTTCAACAACAACAACAACAACAACAAAAACACCTACTTTGAAACGCTTAAAAATAGACTTTAAACTTTTCAGTTGAGAGACAGTACGTAGCTTTGCCGCTGTTTAATGTGAACTGTTCGTCAAATCGCTCGTGTTTTTCAATCGGTCGTGTGTTGTTGTTGTTGTTGTTGTTGTTGTTGTTTTTTTTTGTCTTCTTCTGTTCTGTTCAGCGGTAATAATAAATCCCGGAGGTCAATACACAACAGGGTTCAGTGTATATATTATTTCTCATTTTATTTTTTCGTGTGTTTCATTACTCTTCGCTGCATTGCTCAATTCTGTATTACGTTTATATTTTTTTTGCTCTCTTGCTCTCATGTCTGTCCTTTTTTTCAGCTGTGTGTACGCTCTCACGCGCTTTTTCTCTCTTTCTTTTGGCTCGGTTCGCTCGGGTCTGTGTGTATGTGGCTTTTTTTCAATGTCCCGTTATTGCCTGCTCTCCAAAGCAATTACTGTAGACATTATATTGTATGCGCATATGCAATGAATACATTATTTATCAAATAAATACACTCGACATAGAACACAAAATGAAATAAATATTAATTGATAATGTTACAAGGAATAATAGATTAATTAATACGCACGTACGTCGAACATGCATTTACACAATAAATGTGCTTACAAATACACCGTACTCATACACGCGCGCCTTGGGCACTCTCTTTCATTTGCACTCTCTATCCGATCAGTTTTTGCAAGAGACACCGACAGCGGCTGAGAAAGAGATAGACAGAGATTGAGAGAGAGAGAGAGAGAGAGAGAGAGAAGAGCGGTCGATACATTGGGAAACTAAAAATCAGCGAATTGTTTCCTCTTGGTGCCGCTAGCTCGATTTCCGCTCAATGTGTCCGGTTGATTCTCAATGTATTTCTTGCTCGGCTTGTCTGTAAGGTTTCAATATAATTTTGAAAGTGTTGGAATTTTTGCTTGGCTTAAGGAATTTGTGTCAAAGTGACCATTCATCAATTCGAGACGCTAGACAGATTGGGCAATTCGCCGATTTGTGTAACAAATAAGCGGCTTTTTTTATTACATGAAATCAAAATATAAAAAAAAACGTCGTGAATTATGGCGAATCGCCGATGGCCGGATTTTTCTCTCATCGACGTCGTCTCTCGCTAAGTCTGTTCCTCTCTCTCTCTCTCGTACTTCCGCCGTATTTTTATTTGTGAATGATTTTGGCCGAAATTGAAAAGCATTTAATTTTTTCTTTGTCGAACGAAAAAAAAGAGCTTTCGGCTAAGCAACAGATCATATGGTCGTCTACGTTGATTTTGACATTTGCACGAAAGAAAGTGCAAACGCACTTTTCAGACGAGCAAGAAAACACGTTGAAAACCATAATTCTACATCACAAATCAAATGCATGTGGGTTTTAGTGGCTGGATTTTCAGTTCCTTACTCAGTAGACGAGCTAGAGAGAGAGAAGAATAAGAGCGAAAAAAATATGGAGACGAAGAATGAAAATTGTGTGTATACGCTTGGTGTGATGGCGGCGTCGGCTACGGTGTCGACGATACTGACGTGCACACACGCACCACTTGACAGTTTGACGATAGCAATTCTGACAGCGGTAGCACATTCTTGTTGGATTTTTGTTGTTGTTATTGCCGTTGCTGCTCCTCTCTGTGTTTTCATTTGAAATTGTTTCTCTCTGTGTGTCGTAGGCCTATTGTCGTCAGCCACATATGCTATGTTGTTGCAGCTGGTGTCATACGTATTCATTTATTGAAAAATTGAACGTATATTACGGTCGGAAAAGAAACAAACAAAAAACGAATCCAGGGCAATTTATTGGAAATGATTATTGGACAAGGTCCTTTTTTTCCAACTACCTTTCGCCAACCTCTTTCAAAAAGCCGATTCCATTTTGGGTGTACAACAACGCAATCGTTACACATCTTTAGCATGCCGATATAGAATTTAATCGCGAGACGACTTCGATACAAAGTTCTCTCTCATAACACGGAATCAGACAAGTAGCCGTGCATACGTCACACACACGCGCATTTATAAGAGAAGAAAAAAACACACAAAATTCTGCATATGCCAGCCATCAAAAGCGCTATAAAATAGAGGCGGAAAGGCAAAAACGTCAAAACAACAGCGAGAGAAGAAGGGAAAAAAACACGAACAAACGAACAATTTGAAAGCAACACAGCAGCAAAACACACTTTGAAGTGATTTTTTTTTTTTCTTCTACATTCGTGTATCGCCTTTAAGCTGGCGTTGTTTCATTTAGTCGCTTGCGTATATACTCGTTTACTTGCCGCTTTTTTTGCCTCGCTTGTTCTGTCTCTTCGCTGTGTGCGTGTTGTTGTTGTTATTTTTTCTACTGTTGCTACTTCTCATTCGGTTTAGTCAATACGGTTACGGTAAATTTTTCAGCTACCGGTCTTGACAAATTTCAAAATAGTTGTTCTTCCTTTTGTTGAGGGAAACAGTAGAAATGTTTATAAATAAAGTATACACAGGCTTTTTTTGTTGTTGCTTGAAACCACCAAATTTTTCGTACGGTGTCTTTTCTATTTCATCTCCTTCTATTTTTCTTATTATTCATGCGTCGAAATTTGCGTTCAGTTTTTTTTTCTCTTTCTTTCATCAATTTTTTGAAAATCATTTGGCCCCGTAATGATTAAAAATGCACACCGTACGAAACAACAACAAAAAATCAATGAAAATCGTTGAATACTTTATGAATGAGGCCCAAGTTTTGTTCGTAGAGGAAAAAAAGTGTGTTTGATATCGATCAAAACACACACACACACACACACACGCAGAAAAGGACCGGTTGCTCAATTTTCCTACTACACTTTTCATCGGCAACGCTAAAATTGTATAGGAATGAAAAAAATCGCTTGTGATTGGCTGGCCCATTTTTATCCGCAATAAATAACCGGTAAATGGCTTGATATGCAAGTGCTTAGCAGTGAGAAGCCGCCTGTGTTTTTTTTTTACCTCTTCTCTTTAATTTCATTTTTTTTAAATTAATTTATTGACGAAAGCGTTTTAGCAAACACACATACACGATCAGAACAAACAAAAACGGCAATTGTTCAGGAGTCAATTCGAGACAGATTCACTTGATAAAAGATTACAGGAGACATGGCAGAGATCAAGGCGCGACCGAGATGAAATCGACGAAATAAAATTAATATTATAAAGACGAAGAAAAAGAAAACAACAACAACAACAACTGAAGAACAAAATCGAGTATAAATAATATTCTTAGCTCTCGCACTTATTTTCATTATTTTGAACGCATGTTTATGCGTTGTTGGTCGGCGCGTGTTATTATTATACTTTAAACGCGTTTTCACTGAATGTCGTCCATATTTTTTTTTTCTTTCGCTTTACTTTACTTTTACTCTTCGCTTTTATTCGCGAATATTTCTATATCGAACAGAAGAAGAAAAAAAACGTTGAAGCAAAAGGAAAAAAAATCTCTTAGGCAACCCCCCTCTCTTCACTTTTATTCAATTAATAATTTTGTATTTATTTAATTAATTATATACTTGTAAAATGTTGTGGAGGTTGTCGGTTTTTTTTTTTCGGTGAGTGTGTGTGTTTTGGTCTGTGCGTGTGTCTGTCTGTCTCTTGTTGTATTTGTATTTCGCTTGACACTTACTTTTTCTTTTGGGTTTAATGATGATAATGTTATTGTGCGCTTTTTTTTTCTGCTGTGTGCTTTTTTCACACTAGACGAAACAGTCGAGTGTTGCGCCAAACGAAAATGAACCGAACCAAAAGTATGACAACAAGCGGATCACACACCGCAAAGATTTTTTTATGTTCTCGTCACCGAGATGCCTTGGTTCAGATCGAGATAGAGAGAGACAGAATGAAAATTATTATTGAGAAATGGGCTAAAACACCGATTCTTTTCAGTTCATGTGAATTTTACTCTCTTTTTTCATGCTCTTCTTCCCATTTCGGATTTTTTTTTGTTCTTCTCAATATTTCGTTGTGCAAAAATTTGCAATTTTTCTATCACAATAATAACGCACTTCCAAATCGGTTAGCTCGTTGGATGCGAGCAAGTGAGAGAGAATCAACGAGCTCGTTCATTCAAAACAACTGGCAAAAAACGTATGTGTACGTGTATGTAGAATTTGATTTTGCATTAGAATGACAGCGCGAGATCAACGGAACACACCACAAATACTTTTGCGGTATAGTTTCGTTGGTGTTGCCTCTTATTTAACTCTCTGTCATTTGTTTCGTTACTTCTTCTATTTAGTTGTTGCTTTCATTGCTTATTAATTTTCATGTGTTTGCCCCGGCTATGTTTCTCTTGCATTTTGTATGGGTTTTTGTTCCCTCTCAGTCTTGTTTGTTGTTGTTGTGGGTACGTGTATTTTTTTTCGTGCTCGACACAGAAAAATAAAATCGAATTTTAAAAATATTTTCTTTTTTTTCTCTCTCACTCTTTTTCACATTTGCGCTGAGGTCGCTGTATTTGACGATTTTCTCATTCTGTGAGGTTTTTTTTGTTTGTTTGTTTCAGTGTTGTTTGGTTTTTGCTTTACTCAAACTTACTTGTATCGGTCCAAATTTTGCTGTGTACAGTCTCTTATCGGCTATGTGATAATGATTACTTAGATGCACAAAATCCGGAGCACAATCGAGATTCTCTGTATTTTCTCTTGTTGTTGTTGCTTGGGGTTTTTGTTTTGAAAACGGAAAAATTATTTAGCTTTGTCTGCCAATAATTTGTGTTTCATTTCATACGCTCACTTCAGACGACGCTCACTTATACGATTCAATATGTATATATGTCGTATGTGTCACAACACAATGTATATTCTCTTTTTTGTCGCACTTTACTGTCTGTCGCCTCTAAAGAATAGATGCACCTTAACTTCTTCTTTTCTCCTTCTTTTCTCTTCTTCAAATAGTTAGATCGGTCGCTTTTCAACTTGTTTATTTTCTATAGCAAATAAATTTTTCGTATGAACTTATTACTTCTTTTTTTTAAATCTTTGATCCTTCTTTTTTTCTTTCTGGCTCTTTCTTTCTCAGGAAAGGTCACACTGTTTTCGTTCTTCAATTTTTTTCGTTTTTTTTTTTTTATTAATTTGCTTATTTATCGCGAATATCAATATTCGTTCGCGATTAAATCGGTCAATGTTGTGTGTGTGTGTGTGTGTTTTTCTCTTTATTCAACCATAAAATTTCAACGAAAATAATATAGATTGTCGGCCTTAAAGCGTTTTATATACTCAGAAGAATTGGCCGATTTTTAAATAAAATCGTTCGTCTGTTGGCCGCGACAACATTATAATATCGGGAACATTTTTGTGAACACGAACTAAAAAAAGGAAAAAACGTACAGCGCGCGCGATGTTAACGAAACGATGACGATGACTCCGAACGACAGAATTCAACTTACTACTCTGCACCGCCAACATCGTCAGTCGACATTGCCGTCATGTCGTCATACTCCACTGAGAATAAAAATTTGTATCTTTAGAATGACGCGAATTGTTTGGTTGACCGCGGTTTTTTCGGTAATTTTACTAGCAATGCGAATCTTTCACTTGGCGTGGATGACCGATGTAATGGAAAACCTGAACAATTTCTAATAAATCAATGAAAAATTCGAATATTTATACCGTTGCGACAGCAGTTTCAATGTGAATCTATACGCTAAAGATATTTTATATCACTGCTCACCAACCCGGTTCAGCAGTCAGTATAAGCAGAATTGCACACATGTGCGGCATACGAACGAAAAGAAGGTAAAAATAAAAAAACATCACCCATACACAGACGCGATGCCATGATACCGACTACTAATACATGCACAAGTGCCATGTCAGCGACTGTAAATGACGACTACGACGACGGCGGTGGCGGCGGCAACAACAACAACAACCGCAAACCGTCGGATAGACGTCGGAAAACATGAACGATCGACATAACAAGACCAAGTCGAAATTAATCATGAAACAAACAAAAAAAAAATTGTGTGATCATTTTTTTCCATTCCATATTTTGGAAAGAAAAAAAAGAGGCACGATTATCGACGAGACATATTTTGTTTCCCTTCGAATCAACAACTCAACACACAAATTAATAGTAGTTGAAATTGGTATTTGGATTGGCATTATTTTGATAGCGGCAAAAATGCATGCAAAACCGAAACGTTTTTTTCTCTCGTCGTCGTCGTCGTCGTCGTCGTCGTTCGATTGAAATTCAGCCGTAGTGTTTTCATGTGTATCAACACCGTCCGGTGTATGCAAACCGTGGCCATATAAACACACACGGCTATTGTTTGGTTGAGACTGTAGACACGGGGCACACGCACGCACGCACATACATATACGTGTATGCAGTCTCGAATACTACGTTGCTACGGCATATTCTGTCTCGGCTTCTCTCTCTCTCTCTCTCTCTATCACATACACAACAGCATTACGCATATATGTGACGAGCCAGAGATGGACAAACTCGCATCCGAATGCTATGCATCTGTTGCGAATTCGTACAATTGAACGCGGCATTTCGCAGAAATGCCAATTAGTTGGTATTAAATAATTGAACAACCATCTCTGCGTCTGACACAACGGATACACAGTACGATGAGCGAGCGAGCGAGCGAGTGAGCGAGCAGCAAACGAGAAGGATAGACGGAGACCGAAACGATTGAGTGTGCGAGCGGCGATTTTGTGTCGTCATACGAAGTGCATGACGATATAGCAGAGGGAAACCTTTTCTCCATTCACGGTGCCGCTAATATGTCTATGAATGTGTAACATCAAATCGAAACAGCGAACCAGCAAATCTTTAGAGCCGGCTAATATATGGAATATACATACCGTCAATGTGTATGCTCTGTAATCGGCTGTGCCGTTTTGGTTCGCTGTTCACATTTGGTGGATTGTGCCATTCGTTGGATTGCATGTTCTAAAGATCTTTTCGATGTCTCTTTCTCACTCTCTCTGCAAGAGAGAGACTCACTTTGTGTGCCGGTTCTGCTGAGAGGCAATCAGACATAGCAGCAACGGCGATACCAGGCGAGACAGAAACACTACACATAGAATAGCCGTATATGCCGAATGAATAACTAAAATTGCGAGTGAGCAGAAAAAAAAACAACAACCAACAACGACGCAAACGAAAGAAGAGCAAAAAAAAAGAGAGTGTAATGTCTGTATTGTTAACGTGAGTTCGTCTGACGCTACGATACGCGTACGAAGAATCATGTTCTACCTTTTGCACAATTGTTTGCTATACATCGCGCATAAATAATAAGAAATACTTGTTAAAAATGTATTTAACTTCGGCTACATCTCTCGCTCACGCTCCTTTGCACTCGGTCTCTCTCTCTCTCTCTCTCTCTCCCTCTCTCTCTCCATTTCTTTCTGTTCATACCAATGAAACAATTATGAAATGGATGGCCTTTCAATAATTTCGTGTGAGCGAGGGAGGCGAGACAAGAGCAATACGATAGATAATAATGGTACGACCCCGTCAAACTCAGCTCCATATATCGCGCATTTATATAGTCAAGTCAATCGCCCATTCATTACGTGTATCATCATATTATTATCACAAGAATTTGACATGTTTAGTGTGGGCACAAGGCTATAACCAGTTAGTCGTCGAGCTTAGAACGGTCGATTTTTCTTTGCATTTGCTTGCACTTTTCTCTTGTTCTTCTTCTTCATCTTCTTCTTCTTCTTCTTCTTCGTCGTCGTCGTCGTCGTCGTTTGCGTCTCTTTTTTTCCGTTGCTGTTGTTGTCGTTTTTATTATATTTCTTTCACATTTGACAGTTCTTGGTACATGATTTCAATACGCGCGCGACGGCCAATATGTTTTCTCTCTGTTGTATATGGTCGAGAGTGCGTGTGCATATATCAGAGACGGCAACAAAGGGAACAGAAAAAAAAACAACAACGCAGCACTGATTACAAGACATGACAGAGGAATTTTTGCATGCAGCCGCATGCATCGGTGCAGTATTCATGTATACTGTGTGTATGTGTACAGGCACACATGTAGAGTAAAACCCGTTCAACGTTAACACTATGACTGTTCTTCATATTTGCAACATATTACTGTTCTTGGGGGACTCCAGGGCCCCCAAGATACTTCATATGAAATCTGGACTGTTATAAGAGATAACAAATTAGTGTCTGAAGCAAAGTTGTAATACTCGAGGTTTGCTATAATTTTGTTGCAACAAATATTGCTTATCTCTTATCAGTTCCGCGAAAAACGCGAAAAATAGCGAAAATCGCGAAAATCGCGAAATTTTCCCACCTCGTTTTAGTGAAGCCGATAAGAAGTAAGAGACTTGCCTCTTCGACAGAAATGTAGAGCAGGTCGAGTACTACAACTTTGCCACAGACACCAAGTCGTTATCTCTTATCAGTTTCGCGAAAAATGATTATCAAGAACTCGCGTTTTTCGCGTTTTTTCGCGTTTTTTCGCGTAACTGATAAGAGATAACGACTTGATGTCTATGGTGAAGTTGTAGTACTCAAGCTGCTCTACAACTTTGTCGAAGATACCAAGTCGTTATCTTTTATCAGTTTCGCGGAATACGCGAGAAACCGCAGAAAACCGCGAAAAAACGCGTTTTTTCCTTATCATTTTTCACGAAACTGATAAGAGATAACCAGATGGTGTCTGGAGCAAAGTTGTAGCTCTGGTCGAGGACTATAATTTGCCACAGACCTTAAGTCGTTATCTCGTATCAGTTACGCGAAAAAATGATAAGAAAACATTCGCGTTTTTCACGGTTTTCTGCGGTTTTTCGAATATTCCGCGAAACTGATAAGAGATAACGAGATGGTGTCTATACCAAACTTGTAAAGCAGCTTAAGTACTACAACTTCGCTACAGCATCAAGTCGTTATCTCTTATCAGTTACGTGAAAAGCCGCGAAAACCGTGAAAAACGCGAATTTTTTCTCATCATTTTTTCGCGTAACTGATAATAGATAACGACTTGGTGTCATAGTAAAGTTGTAGTACTTGACCAGAGCTACAACTTTGCCATAGACACCATCTCGTTATCTCTTATCAGTTCCTTGAAAAATGAGAAACTATGAATTCGCGTTTTTCACGTTTTCGCGGCTTTTCGCGTAACTGATAAGAGATATCGACTTGATGTCTATGGCGAAGTTGTAGTACATAAACTAGTCTACAACACTGCTACAGACACCAAGTCGATATCTCTTATTATAGTCCAGTTATAATATAAAATAGCCATGGGGCCCTGGAGTCCCCCAAGAACAACAGCGTAACATATTTTGCGGCAGGCTGTATTTTACACATACTCACACATATGTATATGTTTTTTTTTCATTCGTGTAGAGAAATGTTCAATCTATACAATGAGACTTAACTCCGGTTGGTTTATATTCTGTTTAGTACTTTTATTCAACTTTAAAGTTCGCTGGGGGCCCTGGGTGCCCCAAGAACAATCATAGTGTTAATATCATGTTTGTGCTTGCAGATATTATCAGTATCATACACAACAACAATTACATGGGGCTGATTTAAACGAAAAATAAAATGAAAAACAACGACGACAGCCAACCAACAAACCAATGGTGATATTACGAACATGTACACAAAGTATGATATAGATGCATGTGAAAACCTCAAAACATGGCAAAAAAAAATAAAACTTGATTCGTGACGCTTCTCATCCTCCATCCTGCGGATTTATTTATTTACTTATTTTTATTTTGTTTTTTACATCATTCGCGTTCATGTTGCTGTGTGTGTGTGTGCGCTCCACCAACTTTTTGGTCGATTTGTGTGCAATTTTTTCGTTGTTATTGTTTTCATGTTTCGTGCAAAGCCATTTTTAATCTTTGTGCCAACAGTCGTCTGAACAATAACGACAACGTCGCGTCTATTGATTGGGATATGGTATAGAACGAAAATTGTTCAGCTCTAAATCTATTGGATATTGACACTGAGCGAGCAGATACAACGTGCACGTAGAAAAATTCAAACAAATCTACACAGCGAAATGCAATTATTCACTTAACGGCAGACACAATGCTGCTGTGCATCTTTATCATCATCAGTATCGACAGCGGCGGCGGTGGCGGCTGAAGCAGCAGCAGCAGCAGTAGCATCAGAATCATTGAATGGATAATGCATAATGAGCATGTACGCGAAACACAAAAAAATGCTCTTTTCAACTGTTCCACAAACAGATTTCAATACCCAACAAAAGCACGCACTTTTTTAAATCCTTTTTTTGAAATGTAAAATAAAGCGTGAAATTGCGCGGAACGTCTCGAAACAAACAAATAATAGCGAATGAACGAATGAACGAGAGCCAAACGAAGTATTAAAAAAAATAGTATCAGACGATCGCGAGGAATTCATCGAATTCGGTCGCATCACTTATACCCCGTTTGCAGCCTCTCTGATCGTCTGTACAAATAGATAGGAAACGTCGAACAAGAACAATAAAGCGGCACCTGGCGACTGGTTGGAGAAATAGAGAATCATGCACATAGTTTGCTGTAACAAGTATGCGTCTGTGTTAGTTCAAACGTTGAAAGTATGACACATTGCACTTAGTCCCCAGGTGCCGCTGTATTGTTTACTATTTTCACGATCAGAAAGG